GTTGTATTTGTATATTTGGCAGAATAAGAGACAAGAGACATCACTTGCCTAAAGCTCAGATAATCTGAGATTGGGTTTGCAAAGCACACTTAATCTTAAAACAGGTTATCTAATTTTGATTTAGCATACTATGTGAAGTTAGTGAGTTTGATTTGTATGGTTATTCAATTCCAGGGATTATGAAAATCTATAAATTGTAGTTTGCTGAATAAATCCTGACATACATATGATTCCATGAGAAGATGTGAATTCAATCTAAAATTCAATCAAGGCAGATTATGGAACAGAGGGGGGAGACAAAGCAGAATTGATAAAGCAAGTAAAATCTAGTTATCAGAGTAGGAGGAGAATGGGAGGAAAATAAAGCATGGGATGAGGAAAGTAAAGCATGCTTACTGTGGAAAATGTATGGATTGCTTCAAACATTTCTGAATGAGTTACTTCAATACAATCTACTTATTTCTCAAGAAAATTTCATAAACACATATTTTGAGTGAGGGATCCTTGGTGCTCTTTGAGCTTGCTTGTTTTCTTGCAGATATTTCATTACCCAACTACCGTGTTTCCCCGAAAATACAACATGTCCTGATAATAAGGCCATGCCACATATTTCGGGTGGGCAAAAATGTAAACCCTCCCCTGAAAATAAGCCCCCTGGACAACCCCCCTTCTGGCCAGGCAGAGCGCTACTCACCGATCAAGCAGTATCCCGAAGGCGCCAAGCCACAGGAACGGGTGGGGTGGGGCAAAGGCTCGCATTGCTTGCCGCCTTTGGGATACTGCTAGGTCAGTGAGCGGTGCTGTGCCCGTTGCCGGGTGGTTGCTCTCTTGCGAGTGGGCTCCCGAAGATTCGGGCACAGCCTCAGGGTCGAATGGCTATGTTGCGCTGTTGCAGCAGCTGAGCAGCCGCCCAGCAAACCCCCTTTCCAGCCAGGCACAGCACCATTCACTGACTGAGGGGTATTGCCAAGCCACGAGAGCACCTGTTCACCACCCTCCAGCTCCCGCGGCTTGGCGCCTTTGGAATGCCCCTAGGTCAGTGAATGGGGCTCTGCATGGCTGGAGAGGGGGATTGCACAAGCAGTCTTTCAGCTCCCCGCTCGAGCGCTTCCCAGCCTCACCATGCCCTTGCCTAACTCTCCCTGCAGAGCCAGGGAATCTCCGCTGCTGCTGCCACCTGCTGCCACTGCATGGCTTTTTCTGTGGCTTCCAAAGCACGGAGGTAGGATGCCAAGCCTTCCGGAAGTTGCCACTCTGGGAATATACTCTATGGTTGTACACTCTGGGAGTATGTTCTACCGGCAGCCAGTCCACAACCATAGAGTGTACTCCCAGAGCGGCCGCAAGACTCGGCTGCGAATCTCTGGAGTTTGGAAGCCAGAGAATAGGTTATGCTCAGGAGCGCCGCAGCCATGGCCTGGCCCTGCAGGAAGAGCTGGGCCACAGCATGGTGAGGCTGGGAGACACACGAGCTGGGGATGGGACAGGCGCTTGTGCAACCTCCCTTGCGAGGCGGGCAGAGCACCATGCACTGACCTAAGGATATCCCGAATGCACCAAGCTGCGGGAGGTGGGGAGAGGGCAGAGAACCATGCGGTTTAGCGCCTTTGGGATATCACTGGGTCAGTGAGGGGCGCTCTGCCTGGCTGGAAAGGGGGGTCGCCGGGTGGCTGCTGATTCAGTTCCACAGAGGAATTATTGAGTCTGCCATCTGCACCTCCATATCTGTCTGGTTTGGCTGTGCAATCAAACAAGACAAACATAGACTTCAATGGATAATT